CCGGTCTTGTTGGGTTATTTATTACTTCGACACTCCTACACTTGGAAGAAGATATCAATTTTTTGGTCATGTCAATATTCTCTTGTAATAATCTCAAATATTTCAAGCTAGTCCATACAATTTGAAATATTTAAATATTTATTAAAAGTTTCAATATAAACTTTAATGGAAATTGTTTTGGCTTATAATTAAATTTATCATACTCATTAATATATTATGATTTATTAGGAATTATTATTTTGGGTATGGCTATGTGGCCCTATGATTGTGTGGCCATGTGGCTTCATGGCCAGGCGCTATCTCCATAGTCTTATTACCCTACCAGACCCAACTTTTCATATACTTGGGTTTAGCCATGTGCTGAGCTTAATGCAACGTGAGTTTGACAACTTCTTAAACCCAATACATTTGAGTTCAACCATGTGCTGAGCACAAGACAATATAGGTTTGAAAAGTTGCTAAACCCAGTATAGATGGGTTTATCCAAGGAATAAGCTCAACTTCCTTGGGTTCAACTAAGGGGAAGAGCATAGCCCTTATGGGCTCAACTACATTTTATATCTTACTCTCATTACATCTCTAGATGTAAATAATCTCTTAATGACCTATATATATATATATATATATTAAAGATATATTTATCTTTTATTAAATGTTATTAGAGAAAAATGATACTCTAGCCCTTTCTCTATACAAAAGAACAAGACTCAGGAGCTATCAATACCAAATAGATCCTTCAAGCTCCAGATTCACAATCTCTTCATTTATAATATTTTTAGCATATATATTTTTAAAGTCTATCTCTCTAAAATATCATTGTACTTCATCTCTCTGAAATATCATTTCACTTTTTCTCTAAAAAATATTTACTTAAGCATATGATGGTCTTTAAATCTATGAAAGAGAACTTTTTACAGGTACCAGCCATCATTAATTTTGGCCTACCAGGCCTTATGTACAAGCTACTAGCCACTTTAGCTAGAGATAATGAATTAAATTACTAAAACTAAAAGATTAACTAGTTATTCAACATATAAGTTTTAGTCCTAAACTACTTGGAGTTTTTGGGACATCGTTAGTAGCATTGTCTATAGGAATGGATAAAAAAGCTATCAATTTCTTTCTAAATCTTTCTTTTGACATTTTAGGCAATTTCATAGCACAAAACCAATATCCACCTAGGTTAGGACACGAGACAAGTTTACTAGTTGCTGTGGACACTCCTACCTAATCGGACCTTTAACAACTCACTAGTCAGGTGCAACTTTTAAGAAGGGATTGATTTGGTCTTCTTAATGTAATAACATAATTATCCTTGGAATGAGCAATACTCCTAAGAAGAGATTGCCTTGGTATCCTTAGTGTAATAACACAGTAATGCAATGAATATGAAATACTTCTAGAAAGGGATTGACTTGGTTTCCTTAGTGAAATAACACAATTATCCTAGAAATATATAATTCTTTTAGGAAGAGACTGACTTGTTATTCACAGTGCAACATTACAATTATCCTAGGAATGTATTCTAGGAAGGGAATGATATGGTCTTCCTAGTGTAATAACACAATTATCCAAGGATTGTGCAATACTCTTAAAAAGAGATTAACTTGATCTCTTTAGTGCAATAACACAATTATCATAGAAATGTGTAATTGTTATAGGAAGAGATTGACTTGATTTCCTAGTGCAATAACACAATTATCATAGTAATGTGCAATTATCATAGGAAGAGATTGACTTGATCTTTCTAGTGCAATAACACAATTTTCATAGGAATGTATAATTGTTATAGGAAGAGATTGACTTAATCTTTATAGTGTAATAACATAATTATCATAGGAATGTGCCATTGTCATAGAAAGAGATTGATTTGATTTTCCTAGTGCAAGAACACAATTATCATAGGAAAGTGTAATTGTCATAGGAAGGGATTGACTTGGTCTCCATATTACAATAATACAATTCCCTTATTGCAATAATATAATTATTTTAGGAATATGCAATTCTCCTAGGAAGAGATGATTAGTACTTAAAAGTGTATTTTTATCAAGGTTTTATATTATCATTTTGCACTTGAAGTATCAATAACTCCTTAACTAGAGCATGCTTTATAATAACAAGTCTGATAATATAAGATATCTTTAATTTATAGTAAATATCCATTTTAAATGTAGGCATATCTTATAATTCAAATGATTGATTGATGTGATCAACTATTGAAAGTGAAAGGACAAAGAAAAGGCTAAGTTTATAAAAGAGATGTTGATTTAATTCAAACAAGAATATTGTTCAATCATTGGGTCATATCTGAAGATGTAGATCTTGGATTTTATTTTGGTTTATATGACTCGACAGCTACGATATAAGCCTAAAACATTCATTGAGCGTCTAAGACTTAATTATACCTCTTAGAAGTCCAAATCTTAACATAAAAACAAAAGTCTAAGTCTATCCTACAGCCCAGACACTGTTCAGTGTTCAGGCTATATCTCGAGTTCTAAAAGTCCAAATGACCTCAAATTTTTTCTTCTGGGAAGCTGAGATAATTTTCTAGAACTTTCATGAGGAAGATTAGTTCAAATTCTTACGTTATCAATGATTTTTTGGCAAATAAGAAGATAAAGATTGTCACCAAGTCAAGAGTTCGCTAATCACTCATCAATTATTCATCAAATCAATAGTTTCTAATTTTGGCCTATAAAAAGAGGCATTTCCCATGCATTTAGGCATCTTGGTTTCCAAATCAAGATCATGCTCTTCCT